CTAGGCTTTCCTTATATCATCTGTTTACCATATTTCTTGAATTTTCAGAGAGAAAAGTTTGATTTTTATTGCTATAGGAACTGCAAATAATGTCAATAACAAAAACAATATTAACCAGAAGCCACTGGGGATGGCATGTATATACATACCATGCCAACTGAGTTTAATTTATGTTTTTACACTTCGAGGGCTCCACAAGTCTTAAATCACCAATGAGCCAATTACAAGTAATTCCTATCTCACTTGATTACCCTTTTCATTGATTTTTAAAAATATTTTCAAGTATCTAATATCGCTGTGGATGTGCATATATTTCCCCTGTTCATGTTGTGTACAGTGTTGTTAACCCTTTGCTGACGGGCATGGCATGTACGTACATGCCATGTCCATTGTGAGTTTACTTGTTTAATTGTTTTTGAACATAGATGGCTACTAAATCACCAATGAGCCTGTCTCGCAGGTTCACTGTGAGTTACTTGTTTGATTGTTTTTACAAATAGGTGGCTCACTTGTACTAAGTCACCAATGAGCCAATTAGGAGTACTGCTTGTCTCACCCGTTTACCATTTTCTTTGATTTACGAAAATATTTTACGTTATCTTATTTTGCTGTTGCTAATATTTATAACATTATAGTAATTAAAATGTTTATAATAAAAATAACACCATTAATGTTCATAGCACTAGTAAAAAATACATTTTTCCCGCAAATTCAAATTGGGTACAGTCACAAGGTCTACTAATTGACTCCTTTGTGGCTAAGCACTAGCAGAGCCATCTATGAGACATTTCACAATGGGTTAACCCAATGCCGCGGGGGAAAATTGATAAAAAATGGGGAAATGCTGTGCTTATTTTTTATATCTTTTGTGAAATGTTTCTACACATAGATGGCTTTACCTTACCTGACTTCACCTTTCCTTGAATTGGCGGGAAAATGTACTTTTTTCTAGTGCTATGAATATCGGTGTTATTTTTATTATAAACATTATAATTAATATAATGTTATAATAATTAGTAGTAGCAAAATAAGATAACGAATTTTTTTTTTTTCATTAAAGTAAAGGGTAAACGGGTGAGACAGACAGTACTCATAATTGGTTCATTGGTGATTTAGTACAAGTGTAGCCATCTATTTGAAAAAGCAATCAAACAAGTAAACTTGCAGTGGGCAGGGCATATACGTACATGCCATGCCCGTTGGGAAAGGGTTAAGTGGTGACTCTCACAGGTGTGTGGATTGTAGGTCTGGCCCACATGAACATTCCCATGTGGTATCAAGACTTCTTGCCTGCTCTTTACTTATCCTATTGGCTCCTCTGTGCAGATGTGTTTTTGCTGTTTTGCCATTTTCTGTGGTTAATATTTGTTATGCTGTATCAGTGTGATAATAAACTGTTTTCCTTGAGCAGACTTCATATTATTTCTCTAGATAGTTTACATTTTGTGCAATAACTGTAACATTGAATTACATTGTGTTATTTTTTGTATTTTCATATAAAGTTTTCTGTTACACACCCTTTTTCACTGAAAACAATGGGCAAGAATAGGTTCCTATGGAAGGGCATTGTGTCCTCTCCAGTGACAACCCTCTCCTTGGCTAGATTAAGGACTGGTAAACTTCACCCTAGAAATATATTAGGAAAGGGCATTGTGTCCTCTCCAGTGACAACCCTCTCCTTGGCTAGATTAATGGCTGGTAAACTTCACCCTAGAAATATATTAGGAGCTCTCGAATGAATCCCTTCTGAAAGCCTTGCTGAGTCAGTCTCACTCCAAGTGTTTTGAGCACTGATGATGAAGTATCCCCATCATCTGACACTCAGCTACTATTTCCCTATGGCCAAATTTTTTTTATAGCAAGATATCTATGTCACCTGGATTAAACCAAATTTTGTCAATTTTCCAAAAAGTAACCATTTGTATTCTTTGCATATTTGAATTTTCTACTTTCAAATTATTTCCATGATACTATACTGCAGACAGATAATGGGGTAATTGCTATCAATTTTTTATTGATGTTTATTATGTTTATTAAGGATGAGTATATGACCATGTCAAGTATTTTGATGAATGCAAGGAGAGCTGAGATAAGTCTAAAATTGTTGAATTCCATGTGACTGCTGGAAGGCCCAGGATATAGATATTGCACAATATCCAGTATATGTAAAAAAAAAATAAATAATTAAACAGAATTTACATTATAGACAGATGCTAAAACATCCCTCATTTGATAGGCAGTGTGTATCTTACCTGAGTCTTAAAAAAAAATATATATATATTTTTAATGAAATCAGAACATATTCAAGTGATTTATTACATACCCAGTCAAGTAGGTTTATTAGTTGATACCTTGCTTGAAACCATACAGGTATCTGTTTAAGATGATTCTGCAGCTTTACATTTACAAATGACAGGAAAAATACCTTGATGATTTCATATACAGATAGTCCCCTACTTACTAACATTCTACTTACGAACATTCCATACATACAAACAAA